TATATGAGTGCTATATCCAAATTTGAACCGATCTCGATAAAATTTGGCAAAGATATTTCTGAGCTGTATTTCATATATTTCCCTGAATATCGTTGTTACGGAGTGCATACTACGGTTGTGGGTAACAAATATAACAAATCGGATGAATAATATATATAGAAGCTATAGCTAAATCTGAACCGATCTTCACCAAATTTGACATACTAGCTTCTAGACTCAATTCGGTCGTAAGTGCCAAATTCCATCCCATTTGGACAAATATTAGACGTTTGGTGCACAATAAAAGGTAAATCGGACGAAGTTATATATGGAAGCTATATCCAAATCTTAACCGATCTCGATAAAATTTAGAAAGTGTATTTCTGAGCAGTATTTCATGTATTTCCCTAAAATATTGTTGTTGTAGAGTGCATATTACGGCGGCGGTGGACAAAAATAACAAATCGGATGAACAATATATATGGGAGCTATAACTTTATCTGAACCGATTTCGATCAAATTTGGCATATATATTTTCAGGCCTAATTTGGGTGCATATGCAAAATTCCATACAATTCGGGCTGATATTACACGTTTGGTGCACAATAAAAGGCAAATCGGACGAAGATATATATGGGAGCTATATCTAAATTTTGATCGATTATCTCCAATTTCAAGAGGGTTCGTCCTTGGACCAAACAAATGATTTGTGCAAAATTTCATCTGGATAGGGCAGTAAATGCGAACTGTACTTTGTTTACAAAAATACATGGACAGACGGACCAGACGGACGGACGGACATGCATAAATCGACTCAGAATGTGATTCTATACAGATCATCAAAAGGAACTATGGGTCTATCTCGTTTCCTTTTGCCTGTTACAAACAAATGCACAAAGACATAATACCCTGACCACCTTGTGGTGTAGGGTATAAAAAGGTATATTTCACGTTGCCGTCGTTGGAATTACACTTGACCACTTGTTGATTTTATAAGCTTTCCAACGATACCTATATTGTCTATATCGGGTAATAGGGGCCGTGTCCAGACCGGGTTCTGAACTGGGATTTTCGGGCCAAAAATATGGGGTCCCGGGTCCGTCCCCCAAGAAAAAAATAGTTTCCCGGAATCAGGGTAAAAATACCTACCCCTGGGAAAAATTTCGAAAAAATCAAAGAGATTTTACTAAACAAGAATTGTTCCCAATGTAGACATCTTTACCGTGCACAAACTCGCCAATTTCAACACATGTTTCCAAGTTGCTGAATTTATTGGTGACCACTTTGCCCAAATCGGTACCCAAACGGTCGACAATCCTTTGAGTCAGATCTGGATGCGATGTACCCGAAAACACTTTAATGTTTGACATTCTTGTTTCTCCAAATTGCAGATTTTCCGCGTATCGGATTACCAGATTGAACTGATAACTGTGAGGTCTTTTATTGGCATTTCGAGAAACTACAAACAGAATGACATGGTTATAGCATGATGGAGAGTATTCAAAATAATATTGGTAGTTATATGAATTTAATACGTTGTTTAACTTTCCACCACCCTTTTTTATATTATATTTGTCATTCCGTTTGTAGATCCTCGAAATACCTATACAATGAAGCCAAAATTACAATCAAAAAATTACTGCGAAATTCACACAAATTTATCTTTAAAAGGTTTATATCTTAGTTGCTTTTTGAAAATAGCTTTGAAACTTTAGTAATTGGTAATCACTTGGGCTGAAATTATGTTACATTCTAAACAAAATCGTTGTTATGCCTTATATGATGAGGTCGATTCCTAACCTCATCACAAACGATGTAACTAACCAAAGGAGAAAACGCCGTGAAATGATGTTTCTCGTTCCGTGGCTGGAAGGGAACTCAATTTATTTACAACATATTCTTAACACTAAAGCTTACATCTAATACATTAACACATGCATTTTATTTACCAATGCACGTTGTGCTTTAACGCACACATTACGTTGCGGGAGAAAACAAAACGTACCTAATTTGTGATCGACTCTTTCTTATCTTCTATTTATGGCCGTGACATTTATTACATTATTTATTACCGACCATAAACAAACACATGCATCTTAAGTGTTTTCATTATTTAGCTAATTAACATTCTTCGGAAAAAACAAATAAAAATGAGATAAGAATTTAAAGAATAACAATCAACACACAAACTATTTTTACAACATGTACCGTTTCTAAAAAACTAAACATACTCCCGGCCTTAAAAGATCCTAATCTTTTAACAAAATAAACATCATTTTTTTAATATTAAATTGAATAAAACTGTGCTAAAAATATATCTTATTTTAAAATTAATTTCTAACGTAATAATAATCACCGAAGTATGCACTTGAAACTAGGTAATTGGAGCAACAACGCGAACGTTTTCATTTTTTCTTCCGATAGCTTCTAAGTCCTCAAATACTGTTTGGTGAAGCCCTATACTGCCTGAAACGTTATCAACATGATTCTTCATGTTCACCTTTTTAGGTGCTATTCTTGAAATGTTCCCACTTCTCACAATGCAGTAACAAATTCTAAGAAAATGGTAATGACTTGTATAGTCATCCTGTTTTCCAACTACACCCAAACGTATTGCGACGATAATGTTTGAAATTTTGTATCGATGTTTTCTATTCTTGAGAAATTACCTCTTCTAATCTCCTCCCAAAAATCAAATAAAGCATCGATAAGTTTAACCGTTATCCCAATGTCTGGCGGCTGTGAATGGAACAGTAAGGCATTTTTCCCACACTGTTCCGATGAACTTAAGCTGTTCACCTCAGCTAAATAATCGATATCTAAACGTTGTATTTCTATGGGCACAAAACACACCTATGCCGTTTAGAACTCTCCCGATATCTTTAGTCGCATAGCACACAACCAAGCCGTCTATGCAATCCGAGTATGTAATTTTTTTCATACGACGAAATTCCCTCTCGTTATCTAAATATTCCTTTCTTGCTTCTGTAAAGGAACTATCTAATTCGGTACATTTTTCCCTAGCTTCTTCAGTTACACCACACAGAGCAATTCTTTCCACAATATACTCGCCCAACATCATTTTATGTTGAATGAAGTCTACAAAATTCATATTGACGAAATATATGTGCATTCAAAAAATAAACGAATAAACTAATCACTTTTAACTACTCGTCTATTGCGTTAGTATATGGAGATATAGATCGACAGAATCTTTCACTGCTACCTATCATGTCTCCTTTTACACAACTAAAAGATCTAACACTATCTTTGCTTCAACAGTGCATCTTTTACGTCGCTACAGCAATTAAGCCAAACACACTTCACCACTACGAAAATGCGCGCCTATCACGTTATTTATTTCGCATAAACTAATATTTTTTCGGGCACTGAAAATATAGCCTATCGAATCACTTCCTTCCTAACTACACGCGATCAGAGAATTGTAAAGTTTATTAAAATTGTTAAAATAATTAACATAATGTATATTAGAGTAAAAGCTTATTTGCGTTTTCACTCCGGCGCAAGTACACAAATAAATAAACAAATTAATTGTGTTTTTTATACGAGTAACAGATAGTAGAGTGACCATGGTAGAAGAATACACAGCTGCTGGGACAATGACTGTAAAACCAATGGCCACCTTGTACTGTTTTATTCGCCATTCGCCGGCGTATGAAATAGAAATAAAGCTAATTGAGTTAGCGTCGCCGTGATTGTGTGCATTTCCATATACACATATGTTTTTTATTTTGACGACGAACATAGCCGCGAAAAATTCGTCGTTTGCTCCAATTGTGTTCCTAGCATTACGTTGCGGGAGAAAACGAAACGTACCTAATTTGTGATCGACCCGATTCGAGCGGTAGATCCCTTATCGTTTGGTTGAATTTTTTAAGCGCTCTTACATTTTCGTGAAACTTTTTAAATCATTTTTGAAAATTAACCTGCCTTAGCAGGTATTCTATCAGATGTCACCCACTCTGATGATACCTGCAACAAATTCAATAGCACCAATGGAACAAGGAAGACCTTTACCACATAATCAGCAGCCAGTTTCAGCCAATGGCTTAAACAAAAACAACAATTATGGCAAGCGTCTAAGTTTCGTAGACTCTACACCACCAACTGATGTTGACATATCGGGGTTCAAATATGATCCTAATAACCAGAACAGGTATGCAATGTTTGCAGATCTTGAATTTGAAAATATTCAACAAGCACCGCAAAACATTAACATCGATCCAGAAAAGTCACCAAAAAAATATTCTTATATAATATTAATGTCCTACTCCTAATTAAACAATTAGAAGAAAGATCGCCACCAATTAATTTCAAAATCAAAAATTTTGGTTCAAATAAATGTAAATTATATCTATCGGATCCCACAGCCCACACTGCAATGCTAGAGACTCTTCGTGAAAAGTCTGTCCACGCGTACTCGTTTACACCGAAAGAATTAAAGCAGGTGTCATTTATATTAAGGCCTTGGATGAGGTATTGCCTGAAGTTATTTCCAAGGTATCAAAATTCAAAACTTCCAGATCAATAAAAAATAATTTGGATACAGGTCTTTTCTTGGTGACTCTTAATCCTGGTAAATCATTAAGCGACATTTCCCATATTAAATATTTAGATAAGCAATCGTTTACATGGGAAAGACCAAACAAGAAAAATAACGAAATACAATGTCGTAGGTGCCAAGGATTGGGTCATATCTCGAAAAACTGCGGCTCTCAATATAATTGCGTAAAATGTGACCAGAAACATGTACCAGGAGAATGCCGAAGATCAAAGTCGGATTCCTCTGATCCATATTGCATTAATTGCCGATCTTATGGACATCCCGCAAACTGGAGAGGTTGTCCTGTATTTAAAAAATATGCAGCTAAGAGAAGAGAACGCATTCAAAACGCCATAAACACTAAAAAAGCAGCAACAGAAAATCTGAGTCATGTCATTTCCATCAATTATGCTACAGCAGATAAAACATTTGCAAGTCATTTTCATCCTACGACGAGCCATAGTAGTAAACCATCAATTATTGACGAATTTTTAAAATTGTCAACTATTTTCTTGCAACCAGAGGAACTAACCCTAGAGCAAGAAATAAACATATTTCTGGCAGAATTCAACAATATGTCAAAGAGTAAAGCTAAAGACGAATTCATGCGTCTTTTAAAAAAAGGATACTTATGGTCCATAGGTTCTTAAAATGTTTAACCTTCAATGTCCGGTCTCTTGTGGATCGCAGTCGTCAGATCGAGCTACATAAATATCTCTCCAAAAACAAAATTGATATTGCATTTATCCAAGAATGCCATCTTCGAAGAAATAAAAAAGTTTATATGAAGGGTTACACATTTTTATATGACAACTCAAATATTGGCGTGGCAGTACTTTTAAAAAATGGCATCTATTACAAGCGCACTACAGTTGAGGATATAAATTTTAATGCAGTCTTTATTGAGATTGAGACAAAAATTAACAATTCAATGCAGAAATTTTTACTAGGTTCACTTTATATTTCAACCAATTTCAACACACAACACTTAATCAATGGTCTAAATAATTGTCTGCAGTTTACTAATAATTATGATGGATTTATTTTTGGAGGGGATCTTAATTCTAGACACACATGGGGTGATATAATGGACAACACCAATGGAAGGACACTTTACAATTGGTTTGCTTGATAATGCCACAGACGTTACCCGAATATGTGACTCTTCTCCTTCATACCCTAATGGTCCATCTTATTTGGATCATTTTTTGGTCAGCCCAAAACTGATAGATACTGATGCAGGCAACTACAAAATAACCAGTATTCCCTCATTTTCTGACCATTACCCTCTCAAATTGGATATTTCGTTCAATACAGGTGGTATTATCCTCAAAACTCCCAGAGTGGTTGTTTCTTATAAGTCCACGGATTGGAGTATGTTTCGTCGACAGTTTGATTCTGCATTGGAATCCATTTTACCACCTGCAAACAGAAATCTTGTTAATGATGAAGTTGACAATTGCATAAATATCTTTGAAAATACCTTTCATAACATACACAAACAGCACTGCAAAACAATTGAAGTAAAAAATCACCAAATCCTTTTACCTGAAAATATAAAGAGGTTTTATAAAATCAAAGATCAATGGCAAAAAGACCTAAAAAAAATATTTCATCGAAATGGCAACAGAACAAATTTTGAATATAATATATTGTCCAAACAAATACAGCTACTCAAAAACATTATACGGGACCTTCTTTACAAAGAGCAGGCTAATGTTTTTAACTCTAAATTAAAAAATATAAAACCCAGTCCATGAGCTTTCCAACAAGTCAGCAAACTAATTGGAAAATCTAAAACACAATTTTGCCAACAGCTACAAATAGATAATGTGGCTTTTACTACAGGTAGAGAGATCGCAAACGCCTTCCATGACTATTATAGCGACACTTTCTGTGAGAATATTCCAGAGTTACCACCACCTAACATTGAATCCCGAATACAAAGTTATTTCACTCCAATTGCTAACCATATATACACATTTGATGATGGATTTAATTCATTACACAATTCAGACAATTACCACTTTACAAATGTATCATCTATAAAAAAGCACATTGTAAGTCTGAATAGAAAAAAATCGACCGGTCTAGATGGAATATCAAACTATGTACTAAAGAATTTTTCTGATGAATCTTTAAAATTTTTAACAATTATATTCAACAACTGTTTGAATAATGGATACTTCCCTAAGTCATGGAAAATTGCAAAAATTATACCAATCAAGAAGAAAATAAACAGTATAACACCTCAAGAGTTCCGGCCAATATCTATGTTATCCAATATTGGAAAAGTTTTTGGGAGAATTCTACGAGAAAAATTAGAAAATGAGTTTGTGATACATCCGATTACCGACTGGCAATTTGGCTTTAAAGCGGCACACTCAACAAACCATGCATTATTGAAGTTTCGTGAAGACATAACAAGTAACCTGAGAGAAAAGATCTGCACTGTAGCGATTTCTCTTGATATTCAAAAGACTTTCGACTCTGCGTACCACAAGGGGATAATCTATAAATTAATACAACTTAGTGTGGACCCATTCTTAATCAAAATTCTCCAAAATTTCTTGACAGATAGGAAATTTACTGTCACAATTAATGATTGTCTGTCCAGTTTTGGATCTATATCGAGTGAAGGTCCTCAAGGTAGTGTCCTGTCGCCCCTTCTATTTAATATTTTCCTTCACGACTTCCCCCATCAAACAGAAAATTCAAAAGCAATATTGTATGCTGACGATTGCTTGGTATATAGTCACCATAACTCACCCACTGAAGCCTTAAAGCAAGCCGCTCTTCACCTTGGCGATATAAGTAAATATTATAAAACATGGGGAATCACAGTAAACGCAGCTAAATCGGAAGCAGTATGTATTAGAAACGCATCTGGGAAATGTCATAGAAGCGTTGTTCCAGAAGCGAAGACTCTGCGTCTCTTACTGGATGGCATAGAAATTCCATTCCGAGATTACTTCAAATATTTGGGAATACATATAAATAAATTATTTAAATTTAATGAACACGCCAGAGCATCATTGAGAAAGGCCAATATAACTGCTGGACGTTTGTCGACGTGCCATACTTATCTGCCGCAAAATACTAAGCTGCTACTTTATAAAGTTGCTGTACAAAATACTTTGTACATCCTTTTGTGTGCGGTTGAGGCGCTGGGAAAATCCAAAATTAAAAACAAATATTTAAACATTATCAGTTTCCCAGCGGTCATAAAATACCACGTGTGTACAATTCAGTGATCTTGTGCGCTGTCGCATATGGTAATGTGTAAAATAATAAAGTCCATGACCCACACACACACAATTATCGATGCGCCAGTAGGTGGCCAAGACCACTTGAATGAAGGGACAAACAGCTATGCAATGGTTCATTGTAAATCTAAAAATAGATAAGGACAATTGTGTGGCTGCGAATAGGTTAAGTTAGATCAGTTTTTGTAGCAGTTAAGAACAATATTTTTGAAAATAAAATCAGATTTAAACCAGCAACCCAAACGAGCGGTTGTGTTTTATTTCTCAGGAGTGAGATTTAAATCAGCAACCCAAACGAGCGGTTGTGTTTTATTTCTCAGGAGTGAGATTTGGAACTGATCTCAACACAGAGTGGTTAGTTTTCATTCTCCTCCCAAACATTTGGTCCTTCGAGCCGGATCGAGAATGGATTCTACATCCGAACAAAGCGGTGGTCTATCCTTCTCGATGCAAGAATTGATTATACACCCGAACGAAGCGGTGTTATATCTTTTCTCGCTATAAGAATTGAATCTACACCCGAACGAAGCGGTGTGTTTCTTTTCTCGCCAAAAATTCGTTTCCCTCAGAAGCGGCGGATACAATCAACACCTATACAACACTAATTACATACAACTTTAACAACATCGAGTGTGGTAATAGCAGTAAATCAACTCACCAACCTCAAAACTCAACAACAACAAAATCTTCAAGCGATCAACAACAACATTTTTCAAAGGACTCTCTCAAAATGCTTAGCTGTCAAGAAGCTGGATCAAGAAGTGGAGCCGTTACTTTGAAGCGTTTACCTAGCAGTGGGCTTACATTATTATAAGTATTAACTGTTTACAAAAATCAACTGTCTCTTTAACTTTCCCTTTGGTAAAATCAGATTTAAAAAATAAAACTAAATGTATACATATTAAACCCGGCCGGGAGAATGTACAAAATACTTTGTACATCCTTTTGTGTGCGGTTGAGGCGCTGGGAAAATCCAAAATTAAAAATAAATATTTAAACATTATCAGTTTCCCAGCGGTCATAAAATACCACGTGTGTACAATTCAGTGATCTTGTGCGCTGTCGCATATGGTAATGTGTAAAATAATAAAGTCCATGACCCACACACACACAATTATCGATGCGCCAGTAGGTGGCCAAGACCACTTGAATGAAGGGACAAACAGCTATGCAATGGTTCTTTGTAAATCTAAAAATAGATAAGGACAATTGTGTGGCTGCGAATAGGTTAAGTTAGATCAGTTTTTGTAGCAGTTAAGAACAATATTTTTGAAAATAAAATCAGATTTAAACTAGCAACCCAAACGAGCGGTTGTGTTTTATTTCTCAGGAGTGAGATTTAAATCAGCAACCCAAACGAGCGGTTGTGTTTTATTTCTCAGGAGTGAGATTTGGAACTGATCTCAACACAGAATGGTTGGTTTCCCTTCTCACTTGTACAGTTGCAATCCGGCCAATTATTGGATATGGATTCCCAATTTGGTTCACCATTTTGCCATATGTAGCTAAAGAAATTGAGACGTTTGAGAGGAAGATTTTAAGAAAATGTGTTGGTCAAAACTTTCTAAATCCAACTAAAAGGTTCTCTAACCATCACATTTACAGCACCGCCAATATTGTGCCATTTTGCAGCTATGCCCTAAACCTGCAAAAAAGATTTGTAGAAAACTTAGCTGCACATGACAACATTCTGTTGAAAGAATTATTTACTGCTGAAGAAAATACAAATTGGACAGAAGCTGCTTACCTTTCTACTATAAGTATCATAAATGTAAGATTTGACAATGATTCTGGGCAATATTCAACACCAAACTTTTTCACCAAGACAATACCTGGAATGCACAGGGGATAATAGTATTAAATAACAAATCTGTGATATTTACATTACTAGGCTTAAGATCTCCCACAACAGTACTTTATTTTATTGTGTATGTCCCTTCCTTTGTCATAAGGTATCGAGAATGTATAATTAGCATACTTTTGCAATCACTGTTTTTATTAGCAAATCGCTTTTCGATGTTATTGCATATTCAATTTTTAATTAGTACGTATGTCTTTATTGTGTTTATTTTAAATTCATCGTAAGTCAACAATTTAACGATATGTTTTTTTATTTATTTTAGCTTTAAGTGTTAATTATTTGTAAAATTTTTGCAGACAATTCGCTCTGCAAGTCAATTGAAAGATTGGGAGCAAATCTTAAAAAAAAATTTTCCCGTTTGTTTACATCATATTTTTATTACAATTTCATTTTGGCATGAAGCCCGTACGAATATCACAGTGCAACAGAACAAATGATTATAGTTCCGTAATTTAACATTGTTATCGATAAGTTCAAACATATAATGTTATCGTAATCTGAAAAAAAGTCTCAATAAATTTTTACTTACTTTTACTTACTTACTTGTGATCGACCCTTTCTTATCTTCTATTTATGGTCGTGACATTTATTACATTATTTATTATCGACCATAAACATAGCATATGGAAAACACATGCATCTTAAGTGTTTTATTTATTTAGCTAATTTACATTCTTCGGAAAAGACAAATAAAAATGAGATAAGACTTTAAAGAAGAACAATCAACACACAAACTATTTTTACAACATGTACAGTTTCTACAAAACTAAAAATTATACGTTTTACGAAACCAATAAATAAGACAAATATTTGTTAAATCGAATATAATAAAAGAGAGATTTATTTTAAATAATTCATTATTTTTTGTGGAAATTAAAAAATGAAAAATTGATATGGAATATTTCTTCTTATTTTTCCCAACAAAGACAAAAGTATTAAGGATTTTTACTGAAAAAACAAAAAACGCAAACGCATAATTTTTTCTTGCAATCAATCAATTAATTGTAAATAACAGAACAGCGTTGGCTTGTTTGTTCGGGATACCATAGTATGTTGTTGTTGCAAAATGGTCAGGCTTAATCCCTTTATTGATGTTTTTATAAAAACAAAGTTTGTTTATTAGCGCGTTTACCAGGGGGCAATGACGGGAATACCTAGGTTTTGGAAAGTGCAAAAACAAAACAGACAAAACCAACTTACATGGTTATGCTACTTCGTTCATATTTAACTAAAGCATAAGAAGTTGAGAAAGATGAAAATGTTTAGAAGTGCGGTTGTAAGAATTAGAAGATTTACCAAAAGAATTTTGCTTTAATGTAATTCTTTGATTCCTCGTCTATTGGGTTTACGCATTTTCACTTGGGTAAGAAATTGTCATAGAATTTTTTTTAAATAACTTCTGTTATTATTTTTAAAATAACTTCTGAGGAGAATATCACAGACAAAAAACAAGGGAACTGATGAGGATTGGTTGCTCTTTCCAAAAACTAGATATTCCCTGCCTATCATCGGTAAACATTATCATCGTTCCCCACTAATAAACAAACTGCGTTTTTATAAAAACAGCAATAAAGGGATAGAGCCTGGCCATTTTGCAACAACAAAATACAATGATATCCCGAACAAACAAGCCAACACTGTTTTGTTAATTACAATTCAAAATTGATTGCAAGAAAATATTGTGTGTTTTCAGTAAAAATCCTTTTGTTTCAGTAAAAATCCTTAATACTTTTGTCTTTGTTGGGAGAAGTATCAAAAAAAAAATATTCCAGATCAATTTTTAATTTAAAATTTCCACAAAAAACAATGAATTATTTAAAATAAATCTCGCGTTTATTATATTCGATTTAACAAATATTTGTCTTATTTATTGATTTCGTAAAACGTATAAGGCATAACGATTTTGTTTAGAATGTAACATACTCTCAGCCCAAGTGATTACCAGTTACTAAAGTTTCAAAGATTGTACTATCGTTTTTAATTGCTCTTATTGGAGCTATTTTCAAAAAGCAACTGAAATATAAAGACTTGTAAAGGTAAATTTGTGTGAGTTTCACAGTAATTTTTTTATTGTAATTTTGGCCTTATTGCATAGGTATTTCGAGGGTCTACAAACGGAACGACAAAGGTTATTGCATGATGTAGGATATTCGAAATAATATTGGTAGTAATATGAATAAAATGCATTTTTTAACTCACCACTCCTTCAAATTGGTTAACCAAAAGATGCGCTGTTGTTTTTCACCACACAGTTTTCGTGCTCATGTTTCTTTATAGATTTGAAACCTATAATATAAAAAAGGGTGGTGGAAAGTTAAACAACGCATTAAATTCATATAACTACCAATATTATTATTGTCATTCCATTTGTAGTTCCTCGAAATACCAATAAAAGACCTCACATTTCTCAGTTCAATCTGACACTTAGCTACGCACAAAATCTGCAAATTGGAGAAACAAGAATGGCAACCATTAAAGTGTTTTCGGGTACTTCGCATCCACATCTGGCTCAAGGGATTGTCGACCGTTTGGGTATCGATTTGGGCAAAGTGGTCATCAATAAACTCAGCAACTTAGAAACATGTGTCGAAATTGGTGAGTCTGTGCGCGGTGAAGATGTGTACATTGTACAATCTGGTTCCGGTGAGATTAATGACAACTTGATGGAATTACTGATCATGATCAATGCCTGCAAGATCGCATCAGCATCCCGTGTAACAGCTGTGATTCCTTGTTTCCCATATGCTCGACAAGATAAGAAAGAAATGAGTCGCTCCCCAATTTCCGCGAAATTGGTTGCAAATATGCTATCAGTGGCCGGAGCAGATCACATTATTACTATGGACTTGCATGCATCTCAAATTCAAGGTTTCTTTGATATTCCCGTGGACAATCTTTTTGCTGAACCAGCCGTTCTAAAATGGATCAAAGAAAATATTACAGAATGGAAGAATTCCATTATTGTCTCACCTGATGCTGGTGGGGCTAAACGTGTGACGTCCATTCCTGATCGTTTGAACGTTGAATTCGCACTGATTCACAAAGAACGCAAGAAGGCCAATGAAGTTGCTTCGATGGTGCTTGTCGG